TTTTTTCTAGATCCCAGATTATAAAATCTTGTTGTCATGACAGAATGTCTGACTTAATCCATGTATATACCAATCATTTCTATTACAGAATCTTATACAAAGTGGTTCAAGTGAGAACCGCAATTAGGAACAGAATAGCTAGCGATAAGATGCCTTATCAAACTATAAGAGAGATAATAATGATATATAAATATATAAATACCTATATTACTGCTTTTAAAAATAATAGAAAACCAAATCAGAAACAGGTTGGATCACTATATTGATAAATAAGTAAGAATTATAAATTAAGAGGTAGTGTTTATAATAGAAATAGTCAAACCCCTTTTTTTTCCCCCAAATATGCTTGCAATATTGCAGCAATACTCATAAGGGTTTTTCTGAATTGTTCATTTTCCACTAATGTATTAAAATTGAATCTAATGGAGATGGATCTTGATGTGTTCCATATACATATATGCACCTATTTAAATCAAAACAAGTAATGCATTTCATTCATTGTTTTTGTGAACAGTTTTCTGAAAATGGGAAATATTCTAAGCAGTTAGATCATCTCTCTTATTTTTTTCGTGGAATAAGATTATTTACTATAAATTTTATTTGTCCTCTGTTGATATGGGACCTGGAGTATCGAATGATAATTTTATTAAGAGTCAGCAGTCTAGTTGAGTGCACTGCTATTTAGGTTACGTATAAGTGATTATATACATAAATATTTATAAAAGACGTTAATCACCATACTTACAAAAACATACACAGACATATATATATCATATATATCACATGTATGTCTATTTAAATACCAAAGTACTTATTCTAGACGAATTACCTTTCATTAATTATTTGTTTTGGTTAAGTACGTTTTATTTCATATTTTTAGTTTACTATATAAACACTAAAACGATTTACGAGACATTTTAACAGATACCTTCAACCCGGTACAGACAACTTAACTAATACAGAGATTGCGTGCTTAGTTGGATTAAGCATTTATAGCCATTGTATTGTAATACACTTCCCTTTTTTTCATTATTTTTTTCTTTATGCCAAAGTGGAAGCGTCAGATCAGTACCTCTTAAATTTCCCAGGTACTTCATATCATTTCTTTACATCTTCCCAAACAATGGCTAAAAACAATAAGCATGCCAAAGTGAAGCTGTTTAAATATAAAACAGCATTATGTCAATACTACGTCAATAATAAGGAGTGTCCCTTCACAGATCATTGTGCATTTGCCCACGGTGACCACGAACTACACGATGAGGAGAATAATATTTATAGGCTCAACGCAATTGGGAAAAAACGTTTAAGCAGCTTTTCTGATATTTTAGAAACGTTTAACTCTCCCACTGCGGCATTTCCACCTTCTTTAGATCCCTTGAAGTCCCCTGTAACGGACCAGCCGTCCTCCGAGAAGGCCTCACCCGTGACTCCGTCCGACACGTCCATCCCTCCTCCCGCTATTGTGAAGCTGAACCCGGGCTTTGAATGCCGCGCCCTGCCCAACAGGAGCCTGGACCGCACCAAAGGCGACGCGTACTTCCAACAGCACTTTTGCCTGTCCTGTCAGAGAGAACAGCTGCAGGTGTACCGCCACAACCCCTACTGCGTCTGCGGGCAGATGATCTACTGAGGGTAGCCCCACCCTAAGACCGATTTTCACCACTCGTGACATGACCAGAACAGGCCTGTAATGAAAAAAGTGACAAGAGACTGTTCGGTGTTGCGATTCAGTAGAGGCGCATCCCCATCTATTTGGTTCTGTTCGGAAGGATTTAATATATAAGCAATGAACCAATCTAATATATCCTTGAGCGAATACCTCTGTAATCCTTTTATCATCGTGTCTATTGTTTACTACCTTCTGCTTATACGGCTTTATACTTTTTTTTTTATCTAAATGATTTTATTATAAACTAACGCTGTTAACGACATGCAAAATAAAACAAATGGAATTGCAATAAAAACAATGTAGATCCTTATCCCACCAAATTGAGTCCGTTTTCAATCACAAGCGATATGAGGGACTAATAAAGAAAAATGTTGTGATTATAAAAGAATGGGTAAGACATTATAAAGCGTGTTGAAAATATATTGTTATTATTAATTTGATTTTGGTTTCGAGAGGTTTTTTTCAATATCAAGGAAAATATTAAAACATAATTTAATTTACCCTTCCTTCCCTCCTTCTGTTGTCAAGTTAATTTCTTTTGTGTTAAAATGAATAAATCAGACTGGTTTATTCATTTGTGATGTCCGTATGTGATCAGGTATCAGTTCTACACCGCTGAGCCATTAAAAAAAAAGTAGTGAATAGAAGGATGTATAATGCTATTACTACTTTTGATCCACCGGTTTTTATTTTATTGCTTGGCTACCCTGCTCCTTGATATTTTATAAAATTTATTTTCAATTTCAAAGGATATTTGAGAACTTGTTGTATAAATAAATCTATTAAGTGGTTTTTCGTATGCGCATTTTACCACCTCTCATGAGTATAGGAATTAAAGATGCATGTATTCAAAAGAGGCAATGTTGATACAATAGAGTTATGACTAACAGCCTTTCTTTATTAATGTACTTGTTTTTCGTCTCTATGCTATGTACTTTGTTAAGTCACTTGGTTCCTCTAGAACGAAAAGCATTCAAAAAATAATCAACAAACTCTGCATTATTTTGCATCCTGCTCAATTATACATTCTTTTTATATCTTTTTTTTGTGAAATCCATGTTTCGGTAAGAATTTTCCTTGAAAGTATATTTAATATGAATTAAACACCGCATTTTGGTTACACTTTGTTTGGTCGTGACGGCTTTTACCAGATGTTATGTTGCTACTTATAGGAATAAAAGTTTCTTAGCTTGGGTACGTTCTATTACTCTGTACACCTTTCAATCTTCAGAAATATCATAACTAAATTCTAACAAAGTGTAAATTGTTACATAATAAGAGACAGGATCAGGGAAATAACATTCATCTCGGTAAGATATTTCAGACTTTTTATCTAAGGCATATGCAAAGACATTCCGATTGCGCAAAGGATACTATACATATATCACTTTGTGTCCCAATGCGAAATAAAAATAATTGATATAAGTATGCATATACAATGTATGTTGCAAGCGTAAATCAGAATTTTTTTATATTTAGTGTTTTAAAATTGTAATTTGCCGATCTTTGTTCAACTGATCAATATATATATATATAATAAACCAATAAGACTTTTTATTTCATTTTTTTTTTTTACGATAATATGGTAGATTACTTTTTAAAGGCTTGGTAAATTATACATGATAAATCTTCCAGGTATTCATCTATCCTTTTTTTTGTGTGCTGAAGTTTGTATAAAAAATCGCCAAGAAAAAAACAGCTTGAATGGTTTATACTAAACAATGACGGGATTTATGGTAATGACCGCTTAGTTTTATGGTTCCATCTTCAAATTGACGCCTTTCTTTTATTTGATTCTGATTGAAGAGACGGAAGCCTTTTGACTTTCATCGCAAGTTGTCGAGTTCATTGGTTTCAGTGTGAAATTCAGTGCCTCGAACCGTTTTATCACCTTTTCCGTCATTACACCCCCTGGATGCGTCGAGGGACGATAGGATCTCGCCAAGGGAGGACCCGCTTGGGTTGGAATCGACG